GGTCCTCCTACACGTTTCCTATTAAAAACAGTGCTGACAAGGTTCCGCGAGTTCGTCACCCAACCCCGATCCAAGCACTGAACTAGCATAAAGAAATAGAAGCGAGAAGCTGAAATGGATTTCGACCCCCAAACTAAGACAATAAATGACCGACTTTGATAGTATTTATTATTTTAAAGGATACCTTTTCCCGGCGGTATACATTAGTATTAACAGACCTAAATGTATATTCTAGGGGAGGATTTTTCCATTAAAAACCACTAAAAGATAGATAGATAGATAGATATGAACAGAATGAGATAGATATGAACAGAATGAGATAGATAGATAGATAGATAGATAGATAGATATGAACAGAATGAGACAGATATGAACAGAGTAACAGATAGATAGATAGATAGATAGATAAATAGATAGATAGATAGATATGAAAAGACTGACATAGATAGATAGATAGATAGATAGATAGATATATAGATAGATAGATATAAACAGAATGAGACAGATATGAACAGAGTGACAGATAGATAGATAGATAGATAGATAGATAGATAGATAGATATGAAAAGACTGACATAGATAGATAGATAGATAGATAGGAAAAGACTGACATAGATAGATAGATATGAAAAGACTGACATAGATAGATAGATAGATAGATACGAACAATAATATTCAAGGTTCGATGGTTAAATTGTCGCCATTTTATATTTTTAATTTCACGTATGTGCTTTGTTTGTCTTTAATGTTGTTGACTGCACTTTATTGTAGGGTCAGTTGGGCACCGTCTGTGAGAAAAAAGGGCACCATGACGCAATTCACCTCGTGATAAATTCAGAAACGGCATTCAGTACTGCTTGGAATTTGCGCCGGAATCTCCAATGCATCATTTCAGAATGTTTGGATGTCAATGTGAGGACAGTGCAGAGAATGTTGTCTCCCCAAAAGATGCACCAAGACCGATGAAAACTAAACGAGTCAACATCATGGTGCTTAGAGTGATCACTAGTGATTGGAGTGATCACTGGTAATGGCGACGTTATTCCTCCATTCATCTTCTCACAGGGCTTCAGACTCAATACAGAGGCCTACATCAAGTGCTTTGAGGAGGTAGTGCTGCTCGGAGTCAAGCGGGTGACTGCTGGGAGATCTTATGTCTGGCAACAAAACTTTACACCATGCCACACAAAGAGGACAGCCCAGTCATGGCTGTCAGACAATTTCTGCAACCATATCCCCTCTTACATCTGACCACCTAAATCCCAGACTATAAACCCCTTGATTATTATGAAGCGCAGTTGAGTGTCCGACTAACAAAACTCCTTGTAACACCAAAGATGAACAGAAGGCAAGTATTATGGCAGCATTCACTAACTTAAACAAGGAGACCGTCCAGAAAAATTGCAGGAGAATCGTCTGGAGGTGGAGCTTGAAGCCAATGGCGATTTTATTTAATAAATTTACACTTTTGTATTTCAAGATATTTTTGTGTAATTTTAGTAAATCTATCGGTTAAAATGAGATGTCAGTGTTATTTTCATTTTTGCGTAATTTAGACAACTATTCATCCATCGCACCCTGTATATTTAAAATTTCAGATAGAATATATCTGTAAAAGGAAAATATGAATAAAGCCAAAAAGCAAACTTCTCTTATCCGACGCGTTTCACCTTCTGAATTAGTTTATCAAAGCAAATACAAAAAAAGTATTTATAGATGTTGTGGTAGGATCCACCTAATTTGCATAGTGGAGTACCGACCATATAAATATGGTTGGTACCGGGAAGAGAGGGAGGAATCAAGAGATTCACTCTCAGTCGAACTCTCTGCATTTTGCAGTGAGGGACCCGGACGAGGCTTTGCCGAGAGGCAGGGTTTCGTCCGGGGTGGTAGACAGGACTTGAACCCGTCTAGGCGGGTTCAGAAAGGCCATATTTTTGGCCGTGCCTACGGGCTCGGAGATACCCACTTTAAACCGGCCTTGTGCCACATTTTATCCTCGTGGGTGGATAGATAAATACAGGAATCAAGAGATTCAACCAGAGACTCTGTCCGACTGCGACTCAGTCAACACATTCTCCAGGAACGGTCTTACCAGGAATATACAAAAGACTATATGTAAATATTGTGTACACTTTCTTGTTTCAATACATTTTGTATTGCATTATTATTCCATGCATTAGTCAAGTTTCAACAATAGACAAGAGTGAAAATATTGTTAGGTTTTCAAATTTTTTAACTTTACGAAACGCTCATAAATATTCATCCGATCAGCTAAAAAGTCTAGGTAATTTAAGGAGAACGCTAGGTGACATAATTTAATGTCTAATAAACGAAAGTAAGTAACAAATGTTCTTGAAATTTTTTATGCCAATTAATATTTAAATTATTTTAGTTTGGCATTAATTTACTTGTAGTCTATTTTAAATAACACGAGGTTACGAATTTAACCATTTTCATTGAATTTTTTTTAACATTTTTATAGTCATGAATGTTGTCTTGAGAAAGTATTAATTCTTTCAAGAATGGAAATATTGGAAGAAATCTGGAACGCAGATTTACATTTTGAGGAAATTCAATTGTGGCACTTTCGAAAATTTTCCGTTTAATTAACTTACTTTCTCTTTTATTAAGTGTCGCATTCTTAAGATCAAATTTTTGGTTGAATTTATTTCTATGTATAACTAATGCATTTGATAAATTGCTCACTATAAGATCCGACATGTGTTTTTTTTTTTTTAATTTCTGCAGGTTTCCCCAAAGTATTGCTAGGAGCAGTTCTGGCAGGTTATTTTATACTGATGATTAATCCAGATTTAGTTTTTTTTTATTATATTATTTGTTGGGAGAGATTTTATATTATTTCATACTCCTATTTGGTCAAAATGTGTACTAATAGACAACAAATATCATTACTCTTATTATCAATATTATAATTTTTGTTGTCTTTTATACCTCGAATTTCTTTCACCGACCTATTATATATATATATATATATATATATATATATATATATATATATA